TACCAGGTTGGACCTCTTTTGCCTTCAGAACTGCCTTAATTCTTCATGGCATAGATTCAGCAAGGTGTTGGAAACATTCCTCAGAGATGTTGGTCCATGTTGATATGATAGCATCACACAGTTGCTGCAGATTTATCGGCTGCATATCCAAAGGTGCTCTAATGGATTGAGATCTGGTGACTGTGGAGGCCATTGGAGTACAGTGAACTCATTGTCATGTTCAAGAAACCAGATGGAGATGATTTGAGCTTTGTGACATGTGCATTATCCTGCTGGAAGTAGCCATCAGAAGATGGGGACACTGTAGTCATAAAGAGAAGGACATGGTCAGCAACAATACTCAGGCAGGCTATGGCCTTTAAAGATTCTAAATTGATTAAAGGGGCCCAACGTGTGCCAAGAAAATATCCCCCACACTACGACACCACCACCACCAGCAGCCTGAACCTTTGATACAAGCCAGGATGGATCCATGCTTTCATTTTGTTTACGCCAAATTCTGACCCTACCATCTGAATGTCGCAGCTGAAATTAAGACCAGGAAACTTTTTTCCAATCTTCTATTGTTCAATTTTGGTGAGCCTGTGTGAATTTTAGCCTCTGTTTCCTGTTCTTAGCTGACAGGAGTGGGCTTCTGGCCAGTGCAGTCTTCTGCTGCTGTAACCCATCTGCTTCAAGGTTCAACGTGTTGTGTGTTCAGAGATGGTATTCTGTATACCTTGGTTGTAATGAGTGGTTATTTAAGTTACTGCTCAGTTTGAACTTCAGCAAGTCGTCTTCACCATGTCTAGATGCCTAAATGCATTGAGTTGCTGCCATGTGATTGGCTGATTAGCAATTTTTGTTACCAAGCAATTGAACTGGTATAACTAATAAAGAGGTCAGTGAATATATATCCCTTAAAATCACTGTTCATTACTAGATGTGAATTTATCATAGGCTCACCAAACAATCTTTCTTTCCAGAGAAGGGTGCATAAGAATGCATGCTTGCATCGGCCAAGAGTGCATATTAATGCACTCTGCAGACACCCTTGTGCCAACATAATTTACAGTAGAAAGAACAATAGCAATTGGCTGGGAGATTCCAACCTGACTGTCCTCTTTTCCAAGGAGCATTAGATGGAAGTGGTTGCCACTGTCACAATCACATTATCTGCTGAAATTGAATGGATCAGGAGAGAATCACCTTCTATAATGAAATACTGAACAATATCTAATTCTTATAAGTATCTTCAAGGGTAAGTCCACTTATAATAGACATTTCTTTATCCAATGGTGATATAGATACTCCTTTGTTTATTGGAGATTCCAGTGGCAAAATAACTCTACCGAAGTTCCTTAGTATGCTTCACCTGGGAGCAACGTATTGGGATGTCACTTTCTCTTTGGAGAATTATACTATGCATTAATTCCATACAGTGGATTATCTGCTAGTGGGAGGGTGATACCCCTTTCGGTGTACAATCCTTGTAAGACAAGACCATAGGCTGTAGTGAGAATATCTAGCTTTTGGGCAAAAATGTGACTGATTCAGTCCACTGGTGACCATTAGTGATGGGATGAATTTATAACGGATTTGACCAACCTTGTTCGTAATTAAAGACTATAAGGGGGGATGAGTCTTGTTACATTCTCCCAATTTTTAGGGCTAATAGGTAAATTACTATAAATGAAAGGGCATGGAAAGCTGGGCACTGCCATGGGGGCCATGTACCAATTCAAAAGAAGTTTTATTAAAAATACGGTAAAGCAAGGAAATTGACTTTTTGAAAATGCACCGATACTTTAAATAACATGCTTGGGGATGCCTTAAATCTGTATATAGTGTTACAGAACAGTTTGAATTTTACACATAGTAACAGCATGGCACAGCAGAGTAAAATTGTCCAGCTGCAAGACAATTGTAAATAGCAAGGTTAGGCCCAAATTTACTACTGACAAACAGCACAAACTGGGGCTTAACCACAAGAATTAAGATACTCCAGAGGATAGAGCAGTGTAAAATTGGCCGGCAGCAGGACATTTTTAATTTTGGAAAATATGTATAAAAGGTGTATGCCTAACTTTAATTTTATCTATGAGGATAGTGGGGTGTGAGTGAAATAATGTAAGGTGGTTTAGGTGCACTGTTCTTGCACTTTTTTCTTCTTTCAAACATTTTAGTGGCATGCTGTGAACAAAGGCAAGAGCAAGTAAGTGAATGCTCCACTTTGAGCAGGCCAACATTAAATAAAAAGTTTAAAACAGGCCGCATCAACATTAAAGAAAAAAATGACAAAAAGACATGAAATCCCCAAAATACTACCCTTGAAACAAAATGCCAATTAAAAAAAAATAAAATAAAGCAGTTTAACATTATGAAGGCATAAAATATATTTAACATCAAAAACCTTAATACATAGTATAAAATCAACATAAAATAAACCAAACATAAAAATAAAACCAGCACAAAATTAAAACCAAAATATCCCAATATAAATGAAAACCCCAAAATATTACTTCCTGAAAAAAAAGCCTATTTTTAAATTGAAATAAAAAATAACCACCAAACATTAACAGGGATGAGGAAATGTTTTAAAAAACTACTTGTCCAAGGAACTAAATCGAGGTCCCAATCTACTTGTCCCTCATGACAATCTACTTGTCCTGATAAAAAAAAAAAATAGAAGCGGAAAAGGCGCAACTAAATGTAGACTTACAATGGTACTTTATTGCACACAATAGAATAGCCACTTACTAGATCATGTGGGGTAAAAGCACATTTACAGGGTCATCACAGCATAACCATCAAGGTGCCGCCGTGCTGCTGAAGATCCTCTGTCGTTCCTTTGTTCTAAGCCGGCAAGATGGTGGAGACCTAGAAGTCAGGGCTATTTGGCTCACACATATTGCAATACATGTTTAAGCTGGCCAACTGCATCAAAGTAATCCCTCTATGGCCGGTCCTACTCTGCTCTGCCTACGCAAATGCTACTGTATATATACCAGTGTGCAGAGGGTCCCTTTAGCACCTGATGGATAAATGCATGTACTAGCTATTGGGATTTTAGCACAGGTAAATCTTGTTGTATTGTTGGGTCAGTAGCCAGACCTAAACCTGGTAGCTCTCCCCCACTTTGTCTTTACCCCTATATTGGCATTGTGTCCACAGTAGCACTTGCGTAGGCAGGGCAGAGTAGGACTGGCCATAGAGGGATTACTTTGACACAGTTGGCCAGCTTAAACATGTATTGCAATTAGAGATGAGCGAATTATTCAAAAATTCGATTCGGCTGATTCGGCGAATTCGCGGAATAAATTCGATTTCGAGTCGAATATATTCGCTGCGAATTTAACTTATAAAAAGGGTGTTTCTAGGCTTCAGAGAGCCTTTATATTAGTGCAGAACACTGTACCTTTAATTTAAATGCCCTTGGAGTCTGCTGGGGAAGAGAAATAATACTGTCAGTCAGTATGACATGCAGATGAGTGCAGTCGATCTTAGAATCACCGCACACTTCACTCATTTGGGCAGTCACGGGGCCAAAACCAGAGTGTGGAGCCACAGTGTGGCGGTGGAGGCAGCAGCAATGGGAGGCCATACAGCACCCTATGACAAAATGGAACCCACCAGCAGTGTGAGGAGACCTGAAAGTGGCACATGGCAGAGTGTGGCGATGGAGACAGCAGCAATGGGAGGCCGTACAGGGACCCATGACACACTCTGGACCTGGCAGCAGCATGAGGAGGCGGTACAGGGGCCCATGACAGATTTCGGGCCTGGCAGCAGCATGAGGAGTCGGTACGGGGGCCCATGGCAGATTACGGGCCTGGCAGCAGCAATGGGAGGCCCGTAATCTGCCAGCACCCTATGACAAAATGGAACCCACCAGCAGTGTGAGGAGACCTGAAAGTGGCACATGGCAGAGTGTGGCGATGGAGACAACAGCAATGGGAGGCCGTACAGGGACCATGACACACTCTGGACCTGGCAGCAGCAGCAAGGAGGGAGGCGGTACAGGGGCCCATGGCAGAGTGGCGAAGCGTAAGCAGCTTAAATTGAAGGCCATACAGAGGCCTATGTTAAAAATAATAACATGTTTGGGGCATGATTCATGGCGGATTTAGTCAGTTGTGTCAGGAACTGGTGGTTTGAAATCCAGACTAATCCACGCCTGATTCAGTTTTCACAAACGTGAGTCTCTCCACACTTTTTGGGTGTGGGACAGTCGTGTCCTCCGCGGAGTTACAATACCTCCTGCCGCACTAAACACGCGCTCCGATGCACAACGCTACTGGCCGGGCATGACAGCCTTTCAAGGGCAAATTCAGCTAGTTGGGGCCAAAGGTCAAGTTTCGTTGCCCAGTAGTCAAGGGGATTGTCTACCTCGGTGGCAGGGTGCTGTCCAAGTAGGCCCAAGCCTGTTGTTTGAGGTCCTGCTCCAGGTCCACTGATGCTGCTGCGGCTGGTTAGTAGTTTCCTCACTGCGCTGGTGAAGAAAAGCTACTTCATCATCGACTGCAGACTGAGGCAGCCGCTGCTGGTGGAGCTGCCACACTGCTCCTATCACCCCACCCTCCCCTGCTGCCATGGCAGCGGAACGCGAGCGCACAGGGCCACAGTGTCTGAGGATGGACGTTGGCGCAGAAAGGCAGAGACCAACTGACTACATAGGTGGTTTTTATAGTACTTTATTTTGGCCTCCCTCTCAGCAGGTGTGAAAAAGGCCACCATTTTTGAACGGTAGCGAGGGTCCAACAAGGTGGACAGCCAAAAGTCATTCCCTCTGTCTGATGGTTTATTATTCGGCTGTCGCTACGAAGCAAGCCGAGCATGCTATGGGCCATTTGTGCCAAGGAATGCGAGGGACTCCCTGCCTCCATCTCAAGCATACTGCCACGGTGCGTCTGGGTCCTCTGTCTCCTCTCCTCCTCTACCAGATGCTCTGCTCCTCACTCCTGTCCGCTGAGTGGAAAAACCACCCATTTCACTCAATAATTCCTGAGCACCAATGTCTCCTCTACCTCCTCCTCTTCTTCCTGTCCTGCCCCCACAGGGGTCATGTGGCGTTGAGATCTGTGCGCCACGTCTACCGCACCCTGACCAGCCATTGTTAACAGCATTTGTTCCAGGACGTGCAACAGAGGAATGACGTCGTCATCCCATAGTCTGGCCGACTCACGGAATAGCGTGGCCTCTCAAAGGGCCTGAGCAAGCGGCAGGTGTCACGCATGAGCTGCCCAATGGTGACATCTAAGTTACACAGGGGAGTACCTTTATCCGCTTGTAACATCAGGAATCGGTGATGGCCTTCTCGCTGTTCGTAAAGGCGGTCTAACATATGTCGGGTTGAATTCCACCTTGTTGCAACGTCGCAGATCAGGCTATGCTGTGGAATTCCGTTCTGCCGCTGCAGCTCAAGGAAGGGTGTGCTTTGCGGGTGTAGGAATGGCTGAAATGCATGCAAAGTTTCGTGACATTTTAAGGATGTCTTGCAGTGGGATGGTGGATTTTAGGAAAAACCGTTTGACAACCAGATTGAACACGTGAGCCATGCATGGCGCATGGCACAACCTTCCTTGACGCAGAGCAGGACTCCATGTTCTTTCCGTTGTCAGTCAACATGGTTCCGATTTTCAGTTTGCGCGGAGACAGCCATCTGTCGATTTCTCTGTTCATTACACTCAGAAGTTCCTCCCTGTGTGACTACGTTCGCCAAGGCATACCAGGTGCAGCACAGCGTGACACCGTTGCGCCCTGCACATGTGATATGCCGGTCGGGTAATGGGACTTGGCACGGGGGTGGCGGCTGAGGACACGGCGGAAGAAGAGGTGGTAGAGGCGGACATCTTTTGCTGGACCAAGGACGTGCAAACGTGGAGGCAAAAGCGGCGTGACCTGTCCAAGTTGCTGGTGCGTTGGCTATTGCCGGCACCACGTTCCCATTCACCCAGTGGGCCGTAAATGACATGTACCGTCCTGACCGTAGTTACAGCTCCACACGTCGGCGCTGCCGTGCACTTTGGCAGAGACCGACATGCTCAAAGACTGGCCCACCATCTCTTCTACATGTGAATGCAGGGCTGGCACTGCCTTTTTGGCGAAGAAATGCCGGCTTGGCACTCTCCACCGCGGCTCGGCACAAGCCATCATTTCTCGGAAAGGTGCTGAGTCCACCACTTGGAAAGGGAGGGACTGCAGCACCAGCAACTTGGACAGGAGGACGTTCAGCTTCTGCACCATCGGGTGCGTGCTCGCAAACTGTTGTCTCTTGGAAATGGATTCCAAGAAAAGACTGCTGACGGAATCCGTGAAGAGGGAGTAGCAGGAGAAGGAGCATCTGAACGAGCGGAAGATGCCAACGAGCGACAACTCCCCTCAGCAGAGTTGTTGGAGCCTTGACTGGCTGATAGAGGGCGATTGACGTCGGGTGACGGAGCAAGTAACGGAGCGGGTGATGGATCGGGGGCTGGGGCAGGCAGAACCGCCGTATCTTTATCACGGTTTTCCCAGGCCACCGAATGGCGACGCTGCATATGCTGACGCAACGCTGTAGTCCCAACATGGGCCCCCCTGGCCACGCTTGACTTTCTGGCCACATAGTCGACATACGGCTACGTTTACTTCCTCGGGCGGCTTGACGAAAAAATTGCCACACCGCCGAGTAGGAAACTTTGCCCCCGCTACTCCTCACTGGCTGACTGCTACTTCCTCCGTGCACACCGGCACCACTACTGGCCGTGGTGGTAGGCTGCAGTGGAGCTGGTGCTCTACCGTGGCCGTTTGCCTCCACTGACACTGCTGCGACCCTGCTGCCTCCTGGGCAACCCACCGACTGTTTTGCTCGCTGCCAAGCTGGCACCCTCTTCTCCTGATGATGCGGAAGCAATAGCCTGATGACGACGAGGCTGCCAAGTGCGATCAGCCTCATCATCATCAATTAGGGTCTCCGCCTCACTACTAGCCCCTCGGCTGCGTGTGGGTCAGGAGACAGACCTGTCTCTAGACCGGCTACCGTGCCACTCTCCTCGCCACTACTTCTTACGCCTGGCTGCTGAAGAGGCGGATGTCTCCCCCCGTTCCTGACCGCCCTTTGTTAGCTCTTCCTCACTGTACAGTGGGGCTGAGCCCACAGCATGCGATACTTCGCTTGGTGAGGGAACACCAAAGGACAGGGGCAGGTAGAGGACACGTGATTTCAGTGGGCTTGGTCCCGGGCCATGCCAACTAACGGTTTGTGTCTGAGTACCCACCGACCGTTGGCTGTAGGTGTCAGAGGTGACCTGGGAGAGGAAGACGACCGAGCCAACCAATCGATGACGGCAGGGTTGTCGGTGGAGACACGACCACTGGATGACACTGGGAGCACTGGCTCTGGCTGCGACTAGTGCTGCCTCGACCCCTTCCTCTGCTGCCACGTCTGCTCGCTCCTGAAACATTGCCTCCCTGCCACTCCTCTGCGTGTTGTCTGACATACTCTTTAATTCAACGATTCTGTGTCCCTGAGTAACGATTCTGTGTCCCTGAGTAACAATTCTGTGTCCCTGAGTAACGATTCTGTGTCCCTGAGTAACGATTCTGTGTCCTCAGTAACAATTCTGTGTCCCTCAGTAACAATTCTGTGTCCTGAGTAACAATTCTGTGTCCCTGAGTAACGATTCTGTGTCCCTCAGTAACAATTCTGTGTCCCTGAGTAACAATTCTGTGTCCCTGAGTAACAATTCTGTGTCTGTCCCTGAGTAACAATTCTGTGTCCCTGAGTAACAATTATGTGGTCCCTGAGTAACAATTCTGTGTCCCTCAGTAACGATTCTGTGTCCCTGAGTAACAATTCTGTGTCCCTCAGTAACGATTCTGTGTCCCTCAGTAACAATTCTGTGTCCCTGAGTAACAATTCTGTGTCCTGAGTAACAATTCTGTGTCCCTGAGTAAAATTCTGTGTCTGTCCCTGAGTAACAATTCTGTGTCCCTGAGTAACAATTCTGTGTCCCTGAGTACCACGATTCTGTGTCCCTCAGTAAACGATTCTGTGTCCTCAGTAACAATTCTGTGTCTGTCTGAGTAACAATTCTGTGTCCCTGAGTAACAATTCTGTGTCCCTGAGTAACAATTCTGTGTCCCGAGTAACGATTCTGTGTCCCTCAGTAACGATTCTGTGTCCCTCAGTAACAATTCTGTGTCCCTGAGTAACAATTCTGTGTCCCTGAGTAACGATTCTGTGTCCCTCAGTAACAATTCTGTGTCCCTGAGTAACATTCTGTGTCTCTGAGTACAATTCTGTGTCCCTGAGTAACGATTCTGTGTCTGTCCCTGAGTAACAATTCTGTGTCCCTGAGTAACCAATTCTGTGTCTGTCCCTGAGTAACAATTCTGTGTCACTGAGTAACAATTCTGTGTCCCTGAGTAACAATTCTGTGTCCCTCAGTAACGATTCTGTGTCCCTCAGTAACAATTCTGTGTCCCTGAGTAACAATTCTGTGTCCCTGAGTAACAATTCTGTGTCTCTCCCTGAGTAACAATTCTGTGTCCCCCGAGTAAACAATTCTGTGTCCCCGAGTCCACTGAAACAATTCTGTGTCCCTCAGTAACGATTCTGTGTTCCCTCAGTAACGATTCTGTGTCCTCAGTAACAATTCTGTGTCCCTGAGTAACGATTCTGTGTCTGTCCCTGAGTAACAATTCTGTGTCCCTGAGTAACAATTATGTGTCCCCGAGTAACAATTCTGTGTCCCTGAGTAACAATTCTGTGTCCCCCGAGTAACAATTCTGTGTCCTCAGTAACGATTCTGTGTCCCTCAGTAACAATTCTGTGTCCCTGAGTAAACGATTCTGTGTCCCTGAGTAAACGATTCTGTGTCCCTGAGTAACGATTCTGTGTCCCTGAGTAACAATTCTGTGTCCCTGAGTAACGATTCTGTGTCCCTCAGTAACAATTCTGTGTCCCTGAGTAACAATTCTGTGTCCTGAGTAACAATTCTGTGTCTGTCCCTGAGTAACAATTCTGTGTCCCTCAGTAACAATTCTGTGTCCCTCATAACAATTCTGTGTCCCTGAGTAACAATTCTGTGTCCCTGAGTAACAATTCTGTGTCTGTCCCTGAGTAACAATTCTGTGTCCCTGAGTAACAATTCTGTGTCCCTCAGTAACAATTCTGTGTCCCTCAGTGTAACGATTCTGTGTCCCTCAGTAACAATTCTGTGTCCCCCGAGTAACAATTCTGTGTCCCTCAGTAACAATTCTGTGTCTGTCCCTGAGTAACAATTCTGTGTCCTGAGTAACAATTCTGTGACCCTGAGTAACGATTCTGTGTCCTAAGTAACGATTCTGTGTTCCTCAGTAAACAATTCTGTGTCCCGAGTAACAATTCTGTGTCCCTCAGTAACAATTCTGTGTCTGTCCCTGAGTAACAATTCTGTGTCCCTGAGTAACAATTCTGTGTCCCTGAGTAACGATTCTGTGTCCCTAAGTAACGATTCTGTGTCCCTAAGTAACGATTCTGTGGCCCTAAAGTCTCTCTGGCCCTAACTCTGTCCCTAATACAGACAGGTCTGTCTCTCTTGATGTAAGATGGCCGCAATTTATAGCTCCACCATTACACAGTGCTGGCTGGCTGGCTGCTGATTGGCTAATGCGATCACATGTCATGAATGAATGCATTATGGGTCAGCGCGCCTTGTCTGCGCGCCTTCCCAGAGATCCCCGCTCCGTCGCCACACATGTCGCCGCCATTTTTGGGAAAATTCGATTCGTGCATCCGAAGTTTGCTAATTTTCAGATTCGGCGCGAATCGAATTTTTCTGATATTCGAAACGAATTCCACTTCGCCATGTTCGATTCGCTCATCTCTAATTGCAATATGTGTGAACCAAATATCCCTATTCTTTATTGCAAAGTCTGCTGGAAAGGGTATATACCAATGTGCAAGGGGGATCCTTCAGAATTTCCAGAAGTGAGGGCTGAGACACTGGCGTGATGATGTCACTGAACATCGTAGGTGATGCTTTTCTTGAGCATGCACTCTGGAGATCACAACACAGGC